TCCTGAGACCTAGGATAATGACCTGCCCATACCGGTCAAGTAAGTGGTAGTCATCTCTGGCCAGGCTCTGTTCCCTTATATAAGACAGGACGATCCTTTTCTTTTCATAGTATGTTACTGCATTCTCTTCCTGTTCACATTCTGCCCCTTTCTTAGCAAGTTAATCCGCCGTTTCGTTTCCTGGTATACCACAGAGGGATGGCGCCCATTGGGGCACAGTAGGCTTTTGGACCGCCACCTTGCTAAGTTCAGATCTAAGGTGAGGGAGTTTACCACTCTTGAGGGCTTGGAGCACCGATAACGCATCTAGAATATATAAGAGACAATAGGCCATACACGGAGAAGATGGATTGAAGGTATTAAAGGCATTACATACCAACACCACATAACAGTTAGCAGTAATACCTGTTGAACCCTAGGCGGCAAACTGTTCCATACTATGCTTAACAGAAAAATTGGAAGTTGATGATGATGAAGACGATCTCCTTTTTTCTTCCTCGCGTTCTCTTGTTGTAAACTCCAGCGGAACGTTCTGGGTGTTCGTCCAACTCGGACTATAGTCATGTTCCAGAAGCTGGGTGCTGCGTGTACATCTGTTTCACAAATCAGGCTATTATGTATGCAGACCTGTAGTTCCTTGCCTTTCAGGCAGATGAACTTCGACTAAAAAGGATGTCCCCATTTAGTCGACTCCTACGACATGCTTTATGGGGAGGCAGTGAGACTGATCTTGTAGGGTCCCGGACCCACTTGGGGAATGATGCTGATGATTTTTTGATGACTCACTGTTACATCGGAAACAAGAATGGTGCCAATTAATTGGATCTACGCCATCACCCAGCCTTCAGCTATCTATAGCGGGCAAAAGTATAAATTGGAGCAGGGGTTGAAATGAGACCACGTGACGAACCTTAATATTGCTTCACTGGTTGCCAGGGTGGATATCCTTGGGCCACTGTTCGTGTACGACCGGCCGGTTTGTCCCGCGTCTGCCCAATTAGCAGCTATGAGAGCTGGGATAGTAACGACATATTTCGCCCAAGGGAAACCTACACACCAGGAGAATTATTTTTACTACTTCTTGAAACGAATTCAAGTATTTCTGCTTGCTCCCAATGAGCGAGCGACTCAATAATCCACCCTAAGTGATTTGAGTTTAAAAATAATCAAGGAGGACAAGAAGTTTTCCAATTAAAAACACATTCACAAATGACAGAATGAACGTTGCGACCAGAGTGACCTCAGCAGCCTACAACAATACGGTTAGGGATAGTGCTACATGATAATACATCTAATAATGCGGGAAGATGCATGGACATAGCAGATCTACCATCAACGATATACGGCCCCCATTGGCGGATACTAATGAATCGTAATGCTAACACGAACTGAGCTGAGTTTCAAGAGCCGGCATCACATCACTAAGGAGATTCCCATATTGACTTGCTCCTTATCTTCAGCAGCCAACGAAGAGTCCCAACCCCGATGATACGAGTAGCAGTTGGATTGTATGTCCGTCTCCGTGTGAAGTGTCGACTAGATCCCTTGGTCACCCCACCCTCCTACCCCCACCCACGGTTGCATCATCCTCTTTAGACCGTAATAATCCACTCGGTCTTTCCACTGTGAACTCACTCCAAAAGGGCCTTGACAACATTTAGCTTGTCATGCCTCAGTACACCACCGATTGATGCAGAACAAGCCTGTCTATCTGCCTGTTCGTTTCCCGACACACCTGCATTCCCCGGAGAACATATCCAAAGAAATGCTAACACGAATGCAGGCTCTCGGGGCGTTGCCGGGTAAAGCATGTAAGTGCTGTCTTCGATGTCAAGAGAGGGGACATTCTGAGAAACTTCTCATGGAAACAATCAGTAGAGTTATCTTGGGGTACCTGTTGCATCTGACGACTCAGAACAGATGGATCACCACAGTCTGCTGAGATTGATGCAGGGGGAAATGACGAGAGGTTCTGGCAGATGCTCGAGGCTCAGAGGAAAGGCAAGACGGACGTTTAATCAGAATGCTACTGGCACCATAAGTATCAGAACTCTTCGCTGGGCTGCTGAAGATGGGGACGGAGCGCTTTTGGGAATGCCCCGAGTGCTGTGATGTTGGTTCTTGAATCAGATCAAATCAAATCAGGACTCAGAACGAACGGAAATGCCCAAAGTGCAGTGTTGTCGACTGTGATAATATAAAAAACAAAACTTATTTATTTAAAGAATGAAAACAACTCTTGGTAAAATATTCACTTGCACTTTTAAAAAAAAAAACGGACAAGCTGAATACAGTAAACAGAGATAAACTAGTTAGGGAAAAAAAACCGTCTGGGTGTGTCATAAAAGATGATAGCAGAAGGGACAAAAGAATAGAGTGTTCTCCCTGCTGGTGCGAGACCCTCACTAGGGGAGGGGCGGGGGCCGGGAATAAACTTCCCTGAAAGAATGTCGTAGGACGGACATATAACCAGACTACGTCCGGTATCATTAGTATTGGAACTCTGCGCTGGCTGCTGAAGATGGGGACAGAGCGCATATGAGAATGCCCTGACTGCTGTGTTGTCAATTCTAGACTCAAATCAGATGCATGTCGTAAAAGCCAAATAATTTGGGATGATTCCTTCGAAGTCGGACTGCTTCTGCCTGAGAGGCGAGGAGTCAGCAGCATGCATATAAGCCATGACCGGCTCCAGCTGACGGGCTGTGCTGCTGACGTCACCAGGTCGGGCTAACGTTGCGTTAACGCAGCGGTTCTCAAACAAGAAATAATCTATCTTCGACAGAGGCCAGGGAAGACAACTTAAATTTAAACTTAAGTATCTACATTCCTTCTTTAATAATTTCACAATTTTTCAGCCGACTTTTCTTGATTATTGCCGCGGCACCCCTGGCATGCGCTCACGGCACCCCAGGCATGCGCTCACGGCACCCCTGGCATGCGCTCACGGCACCCCTGGCATGCGCTCACGGCACCCC